TTTCCAACAAAAATAAATAAATAAATAAATAAATAAATAAAAGACTGACTTCTGGCCTAGCTCTAGATTCAGAATACTCTAAAGGGGCCATCAGAAAGGGAGGAGCAGGTGGGACTGCAGGCAGGCAGGGCAGATGGCCCTCAGCAGTGGCTGATGCTGGATAGGCCGGATGAACTTCCCACCAAGATAATAACTGGTTTCTTCTTCTGAACTAACACTGGCAGAAGTAATAACAATGGCTCAATTTTAACGAGTCTATGATATATACCAGCCACCCCTCCCTGTAAAGCACAAACACAAAATAAGATACATAGTCCAAGTAGAAAAATAAATGAATGTAGGGTGCTTTTCAGCATTCTCCTTCTCCCAACCCCATGGTAAGTTATTACTCCTTTAGAGAAAGGAAACAATGTGTTTGGCTGTCCTGAAAAATAACCTCTTGGTTTTTGCCAGTCACGCCCTTCCTTGTTCCCAGCTGTCCTGAATCACACCATTTGCTGACTGCTCTGTAAGCATTCTTAGAAAACATTCAAATTGGAAAAAAAAAATTACTGGCATATAAGAAAAAGACATATCTAATTTTAATAGGGCTTTTGTTCTCCTTCCACACCTCTGCAGATTGCTTTTCATGACTTTACAGTGTTCAAACACAAGCTCCCTGGACCCTGAGGCGAATCAGGGCCCTAGAATTCATGGGCAGACTTGCCTTGAGTCAACAGAGACAGCACCTATCCTACCCAGCTCAGAGGCCCACAGGCAAAGCACAGAAAAAGGGTTAAAGAGCTTTCAGTCTTCGCTATTCACCTAATAGGTCAGCCACAATTGAGCTGATTAGGCCGATCAATTCAAACAAAAGCAAGGAGTCAGATTTATGAATCTTTGCAGCAGGTCAACATAGCCTTTTCTGACTCCCTCTGAGAGCTCATAGGGAGCAGCCGTGCCCTCTGGGCTGTGGGATACAGCCTGGGCAGGCATTCCCACCCACAGCTCCCTCCAGAGACACAGAACTGAGTCCAGAGAGCTTAGGCTTATTCAACAGAAGCTGGGGAAGGACTCTCGAGTGCCTAGTACTTGGCACTAACAGATGTGCCATTCTGTTGACACATCCACCCAGCCGTCATACAGCAGGTGCCTGAAGCAATTTTTTCATTTCATCCCACCTACTAACCTAAGCAAATTAAACTGTAACCATGGAAGTAGCAGCAAACTATCTACTAAAAGTGGGGTACTGGCTTCTGAGAACATCGTGTTCTTTCCAAGCCTTGAAGGACAGCAGTCTAAAAGACTCTCCCTACCCATTCAGTAAAGCCTGCACCTGGGGTAAGCTACAAATACTTCCTAACTCCAGGGTCCCAGGGTCTTCCTTTCTGCTCCAAAGCAAAAGGGTGCCATTTAGTATAAATAATCAGGAATGTAAAAATTCTTCTTTCAATCAGCAAACAGGGAAGCTCTTTGCCCAGTTGATATGACAGCTGCCTCTCTCATTTCAACCCTTCCTCTTGTGGGCCTTGATGATACTTGGTCGTCAACCCAGTTAAAGAAGAATCAACATAAAGCCCAGCCCAACAAGAGGATTTAGGGAAAGCTGCAGTGGACCTACAAGAAAATACCTCTTAATAATCTGGTTCTTAGAGCGAAATCCCAGCTCTCTTCATGGCTGAGTAATATTGGGCAAATCACAGCCTCTCAGAACTTTGGTTTCTTTTCCTTTCAAAACAAGATGACACACATAAAGTTCTAGACAGGATGCCTGGCACATATAAACAGTTAAAAAAACATAATGGTATGGTAGTATCTCATGACTCTGTCAAGTATACACTTCAGAACCTCAAGTGAACCTGCCTTTATAAATAAAATAAACAAACTGCCTTCATAACTAAAATAAACTGGTATGATAGCTTAGTGGCTGAAGTCCTCACCTTGCATATCCAGGATCCTATACGGGCACCGGTTCTAATCCGGGCAGCCCCACTTCCCATCCAGCTCCCGGCTTATGGCCTGGGAAAGCAGTCGAGGACGGCCCAAAGCATTGGGACCACGTGCCCTACATGGGAGACCTGAAAGAGGCTGCTGGCTCCTGGTTTCAGATTGGCTCAGCTTTAGCCGTTGCAGCCACTAGTGGAGTGCATCAGTAGACAGAAGATCTTCTCTGTCTCTCCTCCTCTCTGTATATCTGACTTTCCAATAAAAAAATAAACAAATCATGTTTTCTTAAGCCAAATGTAAAGGTGTATGATTATCTCTGCTTTGAGTCTCACCTTCAGCAAAGATTGATGATCAAGGTCTACCTATATCCTTTCAAGTATAGTACCAATTCTTTGATATCATATTCAAGTACAGTATCAAAACCATCTGTATCTATTTCATCCACCAGTCCCCAAAAGAACACATTAGCAGCAACTGAATCTTCCTCCTCCCACTGTGTATCAACCTACAGGTATCTACCCTCACTACTAAAACGGTTTTATATTCCTCTGTACTTCCTGTCTATTGTCTTCCCAAATCCCAAATCTCATCCCTTTTTTTTTTTTTTCAAAATTTATATTGAAACGGCAAATTTACAGAGAGAAGGAGGGACACAGCAAAAGACCTTCCATCTGCTGGCTCATTCCTCAAATGGCCACAAAGGCCAGAGCCGAGATGATGCTACTTCCAAATAATCTTACAGAGTTCATGAAAAAATCAGGCAACACACAGTGAGCTCATCAATTTTAAGAAACACCTCCAACTGTGGCCCCAGCATAACCTAGTCATTCCCAAAGCAGCACCATCCTGTAGGACCTTAATGAAGGCAGACAGGCAATCATCAGGATTGACTTCTAAAGAGAAAAGAGCGGATAGCACACACGCAGAGCAATGAAATGAGTGCCGTGCCCTGCTCAGGAGTACCAACCTTCTCCTAGGACTGCAGAAGCTCACAGCTGGATAAAGTGTTTGCTGCTACAGGAAGCACTGCAACAACTGCTTTTGCTTCTACCAACTCAATTGTTTCAATCGCTAGTCTAACAGGGGATAATGAGCAAAGGGTTAGCTCATTTACCACCCATAAAAACATGGACTCCAAAGGGTTAAAGAAAAATGAAAAGGGAGAAATAGGAGCCTAAAAATTTTATTTATTGAACTGTTAATAAGTGGGAAGCAGTGGGCCCAGAGGCGTGGCCTAGTGGCTAAAGTCCTCGTCTTGAACACGTCGGGATCCCATATGGGTGCCGGTTCTAATCCTGGCAGCTCCACTTCCCATCCAGCTCCCTGCTTGTGGCCTGGGAAAGCAGTTGAGGATGGCCCAAAGCTTTGGGACCCTGCACCCGTGTGGGAGACCTGGAAGAAGTTCCTGGATCCTGGCTTCAGATCTGCATAGCATCGGCCATTGCACTCACTTGGGGAGTGAATCATCGGACAGAGGATCTTCTCTGTCTCTCCTCCTCCCTGTATATCTGACTTTCCAATAAAAATAAATAAATTAAAAAAAAAAAAAAAAGAAGAAGAAGAAGTGGGAAGCAGTCCTGTGGCACAGTGCACTAAGCCTCCACTTTGATGCCAGCATCCTGTAAGGGCATCAGTTTGTGTCATGGATACTCCACTTCTGACCCAGCTACCTGTTTATGGGCCTGGGATGACAACAGAAGATGGTTGAAGACCTTGGGCCCCTGCAACTATGTGGGAGACCCAGCGGAAGCTTTTGGCTCTAGGTCAGCTCAGCTCCAGCTGTTGTGGTCATTTGGGAAGTGAATCAGTGGATGGAAGAGTTCTCTCTCGTGCTCTCCAGCTCCCTCTCTCTCTTCTCTCTGGAAATCTGCCTTAGCAATAAATACATCTTTAATAAAAAAAAGTCTAAGTTGTGAAGTCTTTCCTTAAATGTAGACAATTTACTGCCAACTTACTTCTCTTATAACCCATATAATGCCTACAACTCCACAGAATCCTTTATAATGACCATGTAATCAACCAATCAATCCTTCACTCTGCTGCTAATGAATTGAAATGCCTCTTCCTCAGCCGTGTGGAGAACAAGGATTCCCATCACCAGGCTTCTCAACATGCCTCTTGACCTGGATCTAACATAAACTAATGGTCACTCTAACAGCACAGGAACTTGCCCCTCCAATAAACGTCAACTTTGTTTTAAAAATTGAGGGTGAATACCAACAAGTAGCAAAGACAGATGATGGTGCATGTGACTGTGCAGGGAGGATGCTGGGTTGGATGCACAACATTACCAATCCAAGCACAATGCATGGGAATGGTCTTAGGACTCCACCCACAAATAAAGCCTACAACATCAGGGCTTTATTCAAACAACCAAAACCAACAACCAGGAACAACCATCGCCTTAGCAGGGTGTGGAAGACGCATTTAACTACATAGCATAGAGAAAGAGATCAAGAAATCAAATACTTAGAAGTAGCTCACAAAATCAGGATATTTAAAACCACGCTGAACTCAAACAATTCTCTCACTATTCCATAGGTCTGAAAAGTCAAAATACCATCTGAGCCACTCTGAGCTATGGGTGAGAGTCAATGGGCCCTAACACACTGAAAAGACATCAACAAGATTAAATGAAATAATAATCCAACAACAGTTTTTTAGTATAAAATGGCTACAACAAACAATAAAACATACCACAAATCAAAGGCACAGCAGGAACAAACTTTTGATGTGAGTTACTGGTTGCTCTAAGCTTAATATATTTACAGTGAAAGCAGGGAGGGTGACAATCTGATTTTTTTTTAATGCTAAATAATTTTACTCTTTCAACACCCAAACAAGAGTAGATAGCACTATGCGATCAATGTGGATGAAGCAATATCCACAGAAAACAGATGTGGGAGAGGAGAAGCAGCAAGTTTCTGTATTCTTGCTGTTGGCAGGAGAGCTTAGCAGTCACAAAGCACCTCCTGTTGGGGCAGGAGTCTCAGATTCTAGGTTTGCCATGCAGTGGTTCCCCCAATCCCAAGGCCCACCAGTTCCCACCTCACCTCTTCTCGCAGGGCACCTACCTTACTGTAAGTCACTACTGATAAGTTGTTTGCGTGACTGCTGGGAGAGAGATTTACAGAGTTCTGTGAGAGTCTATTCTGATCTTGCTCGGTTTGGTCGGGAGCAGGAGCCCATGTGTTTTTGCTGATTGAGTCGAACTCGGAACCCCCAGGGTCTTTTAAGTTGTTTTCATCTGATTGTCGGCTCTTTTGGGGAGAGGCAAATGGGTTGAAGTTTCCTTCTACCTTGCGATGTGGCTGTGTGTTGAACTCCGTTTCAAAAGATGACAGCTGCTGTGTTACTCCTAAAAGTCCACCCACCTCCACACTGAGAATCACCCAGATGACATCTGAAACAAAAAGGCATCCATGTCAGTGCCAGACATAAAATGGAGGCCCACACCAGCCACCTCTGGAAACCCAAACATCATTCAAACCACAGCAACAAAATTTCTTCTACAAGACAACTTTTCAAGTTTGCTGACTAACATAATAAATACATTAGCATCCATTTCTATATTTTTGGTAATGCCAAGTTCAAACTCTGTAGTGAGACTCAGGAAACTTAACTGCTATAAAAAACTTACCAGTTTATTCAGACACACAGGGCTGTTTAGAAATCACTATTCCAGAGGACAATGATCAATCAACAAAAACCTAATAACTATTGTTCCCAGAATTAACAGCTGCCCCTTGTGGGCTTTGTTTTATTTTTCATGTGCATCTCATAATTCTTAGGCCAAAAAAGCTTATACTCTTGCAATCTCTCAAACTCTTCCCCTTTTGGAGCAACTCAGATGGCCAAACTAGGACAGCAGAGAAAACAAAACAGATACTACTGTAAAACATCTGTAGCATATGTGATCTACTTCATAGAAGACAGAATTAAAAAGTAAGAGTTTATTTTAGAGCAAAAAACTCTGAAATACAAGCATAATAAGGGGTGTCCAGCAAGTTCATACAAATGTATAATATTATTTTGAATTTCAAAATATTCTGTATCAAATTTAACTTATCTTTTTAATTCCATTTTTATAAACTTTTTGAAGCACTATTATACTGCATATTATGCTATTTTCTCTATGTGACCAAAAGACATCACAAGTTTGGATTGGCTCAAATGTTCACCAAATTAAACACCAACTTTATTTTCTGTAATACAAGGAAGCCCTACCAGCTATCTACACTGAGTTTAATTAAGCACAAGTATCTTTTGATGCTCAGCACTTCCCACTGGAGGACAATGGCATCTGAAGCCCTGTCTTAGGAAGTGTTCAAAACACAAGCAGCAGAAAGACCAAGAAGCTTTTAATCACGTGACCTTTGTTGAAAACAACCATGAAAAACTGTCTACTATGGACCCTGGACGATAGCATAGTGCTTAAAGTCCTCGCCTTGAATGCACCAGGATCCCATATGGGCATTGGTTCTAATCCCAGCAGCCCCACTTCCCATGCAGATCCCTACTTGTGGCCTGGAAAAGCAGTCAAGAACAGCCCAAAGCCTTGAGACCCTGCACCCATGTGAGAGGCCAAGAAGAGCTCCTGGCTCCTGGTTTTGGATTGGCTCAGCTCCAGTTGCTGCAACCACTTGGAGAGTGAACCATTAGATGGAAGATTTTCCTCTCTGTATATCCGCTGTTCCAAACAAAAAAAAAAAAAAAAAAAAAAGACTGTCTACATTCCTGCATAAGTGTTGAAAGGACATCAGGAAAAGGCAAATATCTTTCATTAGTTAGCTACCTGGAAATACAGATAATATAAAGACTAGAACAAATGCAATATATATAAGCCTTAAACAAATATAATAAAAAGGCAGTGTAGGAAATTGAGGAAAACTGTCTTAGATGGTGCTTATTCCACATTTTGAACTTGGGTTCTGTGTAAGAAGGGGATCTGAGACTCCCAGATCCATAAATATTCCATTTAAGTCTAGTGCTTTAGGAGCTGCATTAAGAGTAACAAGGAGTGAGATTCTAGTCAGAGTGGAGATGCAGTGACACCTGCTGTTCACTTCTCCAACTAGCAACTCTTTCACTTGAAGTTACTGGTCAACAGCACCAGCAGGACCCATAGGAATGGCCAACCATTCCATATACACTCTAAGAAAACCAACATCCTCACACAAACTAGCAGCATAGCATAGTCAGAAGACTTATGTTCAAGACTAAGTCGGGACCAGCACGGTGGCTTAGCGGCTAAAGTCCTCGTCTTGAACATGCCAGGGTCCCATAGGAGTACCGGTTCTAATCCCAGCAGCTCCACTTCCCATCCAGCTCCCTGCTTGTGGCCTGGGAAAGCAGTTGAGGACGTCCTAAAGCCTTGAGACCCTGCACCTGTGTGGGAGACCTGGAAGAAGTTCCTGGATCCTGGATTCAGATCAGTTCAGCACCAGCTGTTGTGGTCACTTGGGGAATCATCGGATGGAAGATCTTCCTCTGTCTGTCTCTCCTCCTCCCTGTATATCTGACTTTCCAATAAAAATAAATAAATCTTTAAAAAATAAAAATTAAAAAAATTTAAAAAGATTCTTAGTCAATCTTATAGTGGGCCTATGAAAAACTAGCCTTTAAGGAATCATCTGAAGGGAAACTGACTCATCCCTTATTCTCGTATCTTATATTACTAACCAAATCTCTGCTGTTCACTTATCCCAAGCAGATATACAGAGTCTTACTTAAATCCTTTGGTAAGTGTATGATATGTCTGGCATAATGAGCTAGAGGTCATACTCTTCATTTTCTTACAAGAAAGTTGATACAAGCAAGCAAGAAAACATGCGTTTAAAAATAAACCTGATGGCACTGGATTAAAGTTAAGTGACATCAATAAAAAATTATGGCTATATTATCATTATCATTATTATTAAGATTAACTTATTCTCATTGGAAAGGTAGATTTGTAAGGGAAGACTGAGACAAAGATCTTCATCAGCTGGGTCATTCCCCAAATGGCTGCAATGGCTGGAACTGTGCTGATCTGAAGCCAGAAGCTTCTTCTGGGTCTCCCACACAGGTGCAAGGTCCCAAGGACTTGGATCACCCTCCACTGCTTTTCCAGGCCACAAGCAGGTAGCTAGATTGGAAATGAAGCAGCCAGAATATAAACTGGCGTCCATATGGGATATTAGTGCTTGGATGTGGAGGATTAGTCAGTTAAGACATTGTGCTGGCCCCAATTCATGGCTATCTTAATACAGAACTAATTACTGATATACCCATATACAAAGGTTAGTATGAATAAGTGTATTATCTAGTTGTTCAGTGCCTAGAAATAATGATACTCTAGTTAGCAAGGAGCAAGCCACAATAGACAGATTCTAGCTCCTAAGTATTCTCCAAGGAAAAGAAAAGAGAGGAAACTAAACTAAACTAAAATAAAAACGGGGGGAGGGGGTGGAATCCTTAAGAGAAATGGCGGATTCCAGGGCCTGAATACAGGAAATGATCAACCTAGAAAAGAAGTGATCTCCAGAATGTCACAGGGACAGAGGAGCCAAAATGAAAGAGATCCTTCAGGCTAAAGCTGGAGTAATTTGAATAATAAAATAGCACAGAATTATAACATAAAGTATAAAATACATATCTATTGTGATATACATAAATGACTAAATGAATAGAAACAAATTTCCTTACCAAGGATTCCAACAACTGTACCAGTACTCCTCTTCCAAGAGGTGGGGCTTAATTCTAGCACCTCCCATCCTTGTCTTGAGGGCGAGCTAGACTTACAGATTTGTTTTCAAGCAATACAGCAGGGAAAGGCAAAAGCAGTAACTTTACAAGAGAAAAACCTTGCCAGAAACACCACTACTTAACCAGCGTTGTGACAGAGATTGACATCATCAATGACGTTAAGTGATGATCAGGTTCTCCCAGCAGGGAACCTTCCCAAACTAGTAATATCCGACGAATCATGAGGAAAACAGCATACAGGCTCAGGTCAGGAAACCTGCCAATATTCCTCAGGATTATCAAAAGGGCCCAGCACGGTAGTCCAGCTGCTAAATTCCTTGCCTTGCACACACCGGGATCCCATATGGGTGATAATGGGTGCCAGCTCTAATACCAGTGGTCCCACTTCCCATCCAGCTCCCTGTCTAAAACCTAGGAACATAGTCTAGGATGGCCCAAAGCCTTGGGACCCTGCACCAGCATGGGAGACCCGAAAGAGGCTGCTGGCTGCTTGTTCCTGGCTTCAGACTGGTGCAGCTCTGGCTGCTGTGGCTGCTTGGGGAGTGAATCAACGGACAGAAGATCTTCTCTGTCTCTCCTCCCCTCCGTGTATCTGACTTTCCAGTAAAAATGAATAAATCTTAAAAAAAAAAAAAAGTTATAAGAAACCCAGAAAACTCATAGAACACAAGAACTGGGAGGCCTAACAACTAATTATAATGTGATAGGCAGGACTGAATTCTGGAACAGAACAAAGTTATTACTGGAAAAACTGGTGAAATCCAAATACAGGGTGGAGTTTAGTTCACATAAAAGATCAAAAGCAACGTTTTAACAAGTATGTATGGTGCTAACAGGAGAACACAGTATACTGTGAAACCTTCGATTTTGAGAATTCTTTTATTTTGCCATAAATCTAAAATCATTCTAAAATATAAAAACCTATTAAAATAATGTCGTATAATATTAGAAAATAAATCCTAAAATTAAAAGGTAAAGTTCCAGCAGAGCCAAAAGCAAACCACTCTATGGAAAGAAGTGACCAGTACAGGTGATTTCTTTGATCTGCAAGGAGCAAAACAAGGTGACAGCGAGGCAGGTCTTTGAGAGCCTTTTCCAGTATAGCGGTAAGGGCCAGTTAACAGACTTCAAACCGAGGCAGGTACAACTGATCCACAGGTTGGCCTCTGGTTAGCACAACAGGCAAACAGAACTCATTTTAAACCAAGCAATCAAGTAATGAACCAATAGGTATGTATTTGGTTTTGGGCTTCCCAAAGTGAGAAGGTTGGGAGCTTGCACAACTACCTCTATCAAAAATCTAGTCCACAAGCAACCTCACAGTGGATCAGGTTGTAGCCAAGACTAAAGTTTTGCAGGCTTATGATTTTAGAGTCCCTACCACTCTGGGTCTCTGGGAACAATGGGACCAGAATGCCATGGCATTAGGAGGCAGCTTGGCTTCAGTCAGCATGTACATGAAGATGACTACAGAGGCTACCTCTATGTTTAGAGGTTTTAGATTCAAATGTTTCCTAAATTCAAAGCCATCTTTAAAGGAAAACAAGAATTTCACCTTTGTTAAGAAACAACAGGCAGGGCCTGGCACGGTGGCGCAAGTGGTTAAGGTCCTTGCCTTGCACGCCCGGGATCCCATATGGTTCTAATCCCGGCAGC